TGGCCCAGTTCAGTTCCAGCTGTTTTAGACCATCCTTGGCGGGTTTCGCCTTTGCCTTTGCGATTTCCCGCAGCTCAAACTTGTTTACAACCTTGCAAATCGGCACCCCATCCCCACTACCCGGTGACACCTGTTGCAATGTTTGACTTGAACGGTCGATTTGTCGCAAAGCATCTCGAAGACTGACAGGGGGGTCAAGGCTGTTGTTTTCGTTCACGATTTGGACATATAGCGCTCCGATCTCTTCGTCGAGAATGTATTGCGGCAGGGCACGAGGAGTAGCTCTCGTGCGGAATTTGTGGAGAGGAGTAGTCGGGCTGTAGGATCGAGCGGTGATTTCATTGATGCGGGGAGTGAGTTGGAAGAATTGAGGACGAAAGGCAGGCTGAGGAGTGAGGAGGATTTGGCGAAGGGCCCGAGTGGGAGGGACGAGACGGCGCATGTGCTTCATTTCCCAAAAAGTGACAGCAGCGCTGACACCGACAGACAACAAAAGAGGAGGGGAATTCGAAGGGATTATTGGACAAGGGCAGAGATCGAGATCGGGACGGAAGAACTGGGGGATTAAAATCCAAGGGTTGCTATCATAGGCTGCAGAGGACCATGTGGTGAGGTCAATGTCCGGGAATCATAATGAGGCCGGGCTGAGTCTGGCTGCATGCGGCGACCGCCCACCAGCCACGGGGGGTACACCAACGCCACAAATCGAGCCAGTTACAGCCAGTGGTAGCCAGCAAGCGGAAGCGGAGCCCCCCATCCGTTTCAAAAAAAGACCCTGAGAGGCCAAGAATAATTAAGAACAAGTACTAACTGGCCTTCATTTGCCTCTCTCCGTGTCTCCTCCTCCACCTCACCCTCATTCTTTCTTCCTCCCTCCATCCCTCTCTCTCTTCCACTCTCTCTTCCCTCCTCCCCATCCTCCCTTCCATTCGTTGGTTGGTCTTTTGCTTCCCACTATCTTTGTGGCCTGCACCGGAGGCGCCCGGACGATCCTATGCTTTCTCTTCGTTCCTACCGTTAATCGTCTTTCTTTCCCTTTATACCAACTCGGTCGGAATACCGAGAGCGTTGTCTGCCGGACGTAACGCTACAGCCTTTACCGAATACTTGGCTCTGTCCGCATGTCGACTGGTGTTGACAGTCGACATACTCCACGTACATCGTCCTTTTCAGCGTCAGGTTCTAGACCTAGCAGGCGTTCGGTGTCGCACGCTTCCGAACCCGCGATCCCCTTAGTCGCCTTAGACAAATCGATCGGCAAATCTCGTCGCAGCCTGTCCCACATGATGATGTCTCAAAGCCAGCGCTCTCGCTACCTGAAGACAGGTGCTATTGTCAGTGCAGTGCTTCTTCTGTTGTTGTGGCTGTCGCCGTCCAAGCCCACAGTGAGCAACATTGGATCCCGTAAGTGACCACCCCCTATAACGGGGAAAGTCGATCTGGACTGACGGTCAATTCTCAGAGCCACCGTTGAATGGTGTCGCTCCCCTAACGGACAAGTGCACGAAACCTCATGACCCCTCCAAGCCTCTGATCCAGTATGCGCTTATGATCGACGCGGGCAGTCAGGGCTCTCGTATCCACGTCTACCGCTTCAACAACTGCGGCCCCACCCCCGAACTTGAGAACGAGGTCTTCGAGCAAACCGAGAAGAGACAGGGTGGCTCCGGACTGAGCGCCTACAAGGAAGATGCTGAGGGAGCGGCCAAGAGTCTGGACCCTCTGATGCAGGTGGCTCTTAAGTCCGTGCCCGCCGACTACCAGTCCTGCTCCCCCATTGCCGTGAAGGCCACCGCTGGACTGCGTATGCTTGGCCCCGAGATGAGCCAGAAGATTCTGGAGGCCGTGCGTACTCGCCTGGAAACCGTCTACCCCTTCCCGGTTGTCTCCCGTGAGATGGGTGGTGTGCAGATCATGGATGGCAGTGACGAGGGTGTCTATGCCTGGATCACAACCAACTACCTTCTCGGTAAGATTGGCGGTCCGGACGAGACCCCTACTGCTGCCATCTTTGATCTGGGCGGTGGTTCCACTCAGATCGTTTTCCAGCCCACGTTCCCCCAGAGCCCCTCGGGCGGTATGCCCGAGCACCTGGCGGAGGGTGACCACAAGTACTCGCTGCAATTCGGCGGTCGTCACTTTGACCTCTACCAGCACTCTCACTTGGGTTACGGATTGATGGCTGCTCGGGATGCTGTACACAAGGCGATCGTCGATGCCAAGTTGGCCGCCAGCCCCGTTGATATGTCCTGGTTGAAGCAGCCGATCTCCAACCCCTGCATTGGACCTGGTATGGAGCGCGATGTCGAGCTGACCTTTGACAACGACCACCCGCTCGCCGGCAAGGTGACGGTGAAGATGGTTGGCCCGAAGCAAGGCGCTTCTGCGGCAGCTCAGTGCCGTGGCTTGACTGAGAAGATCCTGAACAAGGATGCTGACTGTAAGCTGGCGCCCTGCTCCTTCAACGGCGTTCACCAGCCGTCTCTGGAAAAGACTTTCGCCCGCGAGGATGTGTACATCTTCTCCTACTTCTACGACCGCACCAAGCCCCTGGGCATGCCCGACTCCTTCACCTTGGATGAGCTGCACCAGCTCACGTCGACGGTCTGCGCGGGTGAGCCCGCATGGGGCATCTTCGAGGGTGTTGAGGATGCGCTGCCCCAGCTGCGCGATCGCCCCGAGTGGTGCCTGGACTTGAACTTTATGCTGGGTCTGTTGCACACGGGATACGAGATGCCCTTGTCGCGTGAGGTGAAGATTGCGAAGAAGATCAAGAACAACGAACTTGGCTGGTGTTTGGGTGCTAGGTAAGATTTACCCTTTTTAAATACTACTTTGGATCAATGCACGATACTAACGAATCACAGTTTGCCCCTGCTGAGCCAGGAATCCGGCTGGACCTGCCGGGTGAAGGAGGTCTCCTAGACGAACAGACGTTAGGTGATGCAGCGACGACGGTTTAATCCACCTTGCGCATGTGCGCTTGGACGTATACATGTCTAATATCATGCAAATACACTAGATCATTGATTTTCTTTTTCCGTTCCATGTGTATTCTTAAACTTGGCTGGTGTTTGTTTGGGTATGATTATTATGTTAATGCTTGATCTATGAATCTAGAGACTGTATGACATGTAGGCCGGAAACACTTTTGTAGACCCACTCCTTCTATGCCGAAATGCGAATAACCCAGACAAACTCTATAGTAGCCACCAACTTTTATGAACCAACAAGTAACCCAAAGCGCCAACCCATGCAAATCAGCAGACTTTTTCCTATATCTCCTCGATCGTCGGCTTCTCCTTCTCCGCCGAAGACTCCGCATTGCCCATCAAAGTATCCAGCACATTCGAGTCCTTGCCAGATTTCGGCCTCTCAGGCAGAACATGTTGATTGTCCTGACCACCCTGCGACTCAAGATGATCTTCCTCGTCATCACCGGGCCGCTTCTCTTCCAGCACACCTAGTCCCAGATTCTGCACTCAATTAGCATCCCAACCACTGAACATAGATATTGTATCAAACATACCATCTCAATATACCGCTTTCCCTCCATATCCTCGTCCTCGTCATCATCATCATCCCCATCTATTTCCAATCGCACATCCTTCGCCCTTCCCGCCGCAATCTCCTGCTCGAGCTTCTCATTCGCAGTTTTCATCTGCGGCAAGAAAGCAGATAGTCGGGACAGTAGGTCAGGATTTTTGTTGATGCGGCCGATACGCGGTTTAGGTATAGCAGGAATGCGCGGCATATCGTCGGAGGTAGTAGTGGTCTCCTTCTGATCTACTTCTTCATCTTCCTCATCGTCGCTGTCGCTGTCACTATCGCTAGATCCAGACGAGGAGGTGTAGTCATCATCATCATCATCATCGTCGTCGTCGTCATCTTCATCGTCTTCACGGCCAGTGGTGGAGGTAGCGGTGTGTTGGAGATGGTCGTCGTCAGCGGGGGAATGTTCGCGCCGATCAAGATCACGAGCGGTAGAAGTGGTAGTGGTAGTGGAAGAGGGATCGGCTCCCTGGCGCTTCGTAGTGGAGGGCATATTATTGCTTTTCAAGAATGATACAACAAAGATGGTTGGAAAGATAAGTAACAGCAGTGGTGGGTGATTGAAACAGGATCGACCGAAATCTGCGGGCAAATTGGCGCCGCAGTGGGGAAACCCAACCCGCGGGATTGGCGGGGTCAGAGCCATTTTACTCCTTAACTAGTGGCCGTGGCCCTACTTCCCTACGTAGTAATCTGACTAGTGTAAGCAGCCTTAATGCTGCTAACTATGGAATAGTTAGTAGCTGACGCCATGACACCAATCGATCTGGCCAGTTATCCGTCCGGCGTGTCTTCTGCCTGCATATGTGAGCGGCAGGCACACACTGGGTGGCTGTGTTGGGGGTTGTTGTTGGTTACTTATTGTTTGGAGAGTACTTTAGTGAATGAATGAAACCCTTTCTCTCTCACACACACATTCTCACTCTCTCCTTATTACTGCTACTGCTGATGCTGATGCTCTGGTGGAGTCAATGCGTGACTGATAAAGTCGCTCATATCCCCTCTCTCCTCTCCTCCTTCTCCTGAGACAGATCACTATTGTATTGTCTCCTGATTTCATCTCTGCTTTGGATGCAAATTGTATCTGGAAATTCCCGGTATAGCTTCACTCGCCATTCATTTGGGTAAGTCAAAACTCTTTGTTCTCCAATATTTCGTTGTCCCTTCCAACTGTACGAACAAACCCCTTGTCTTACTTTCTCTGCCTTTTTGCCCTCCGTCTTCTCCTTTATGGCCGTTTATGGCCCCAATGCATTACCCACCTGCTCATAAACAATAGGGTTCTCTTCGCTGGGAACTATATATCCCATACACAATCCGGATTGATCCTGATGTCCACCCACATCCTCACGCAGGACAGATAATCCGACACACCCACACACTCCTAGTACATACACATACACACACACACTCTCTCTCTCTCTCCAACCATCTACATCCCCATCAAAATGAGCACCATCCCCAGCGTCCACATTAACGACAAAAGCCCCATAGAGGACCGCGACACCTCCTCCACCTCCCCAACCACCCGCAAATCCCTGCACCAGAACATCTTTGGCAAACTACGTCCCCTCCCCTTCCAATACCACTGGACAGTCTGGTACGACCGCCATACCGACGCCCCAGCAGTAGCAACAGCAGCAGCAACAGCAGACTACGACTCACGTCTCTACGTCCTACACGAGGATGTCGCCGACATCGCCACCTTCTACCGCGTCTATAACAACTACCCGTGGGACAAGATCCGTCTGCGCGACACCGTCCACATCTTCCGCAAAGGCGTGAGACCCGTCTGGGAAGATCCCGAGAATCAGAACGGGGGGTGCTGGCGCTTCCGCGTTCCGAAGAGTAAAGCCCAGGCGTTCTTTCATGAGATTGCCATTCTGTGTATGGCGAATGAGTTTCAGGCGGTTTTGGAGAAGGGTTAGCTTCCCCCCCCCCCCCCCACCCATTCTTTCTTTCTCTCTATTTTGTTGTGCTGTTTGTTTGTTGTGTTTATGATATGGATTATCCCACTAGTAAAAAGTAAACTTGTGAGAGTAACGGGAGATGGGAGATATAGTACTAACGAATGAGAGAAATATAAATGAGAATAGAACACGACCACGTCCTCGGCGTCTCCACCTCCGTCCGCTTCAACTCGCATCTCATCTCCGTATGGAACAAGCTCGGCTCTAATGAACGGTCTATCAAGGCTCTCGAACAGACTATTATCGATCGATTATCCCCTGAGCTAAGGCCGACTGGGACAGGGTCCACTGCGTATTTTTATAAGCGGCATGATGAGAATGAGGGGTTTAAGGAGGCTGTGGAGAGGAGTCAGACATGATTTGGTTATTTTTTTTTTTTTGAAGGGGTTTGGAATATAAGTCGGTTGTCCTGGGTAGGTGGTAGAGAGAAGTTGGTATCTCCCGGATATGATATGGGGGGGAGAGTGAGGGAGCATGTATGTATGTGCATATTAGATTTTGTACATGGAAATGGAAAATTGTTTCGAGTGTGGTATTGTATTATGTTCTGGTTGGGATTGGAGAAGTAAGAATGGTATCTTATTCTATTTTGGTTGGTATATGACTACAGTGATAGAGAGAGATACTGCTAATAGAATTCATATCTGCCTTGCAGCGCTTACTTTACTAACTTGTGCATGCTATGAAGCATATAGAGCATGACGACTATACCACACTAGTATATTCCAGCCGGGTAGTAAGTAGTTCGCTGAACAAACAATTGATGATTATCTTATGAGCGAAGCACTGCGTTCAGATACGGATATGTACTAGGAGGTTATAGTAATAATAGATAAATGACCTACACCATCAAATAACACCCAGCAGTAGTAATAAATGTCTATCCATGAGATTCATTACCTTGGTATATTACAATCGATTATTTCGTTTCCATCGTCCCTCGCTCCCTCCATCATCCCATCCTAGGAATAGGCATAGGCATATCACCTCCCATCACTCCTCCGACTCACACTCCTCCTTCTCGCCCTCCTGTCATCTCCCTCCCTCTCCCTCTCCCTATCCCTTTCTCTATCTCTGTCTCTGTCTCTCTCCCTATCCCTATCCCTACCGTTAGTCTCACTATCACGTTCACGCTCACGCTCACCACCACCACCACCAGTGGCAGTAGCAGTCGCAGCAGCAGTAGCACCAGGAATATACCGATCAATCTCAACAAAGCGCGGTCTATCACGCTCATCTTTCTCCGCTCGTTCCGGCGATCGCACCCTCCGACGAGGAGACCGGCTCCGACGACTAGTAGGCGGCACGTAGCGATCGATATCGAGGAGACTCGGCGAGCGGCGTCGACTGCGTGATCGTCGGCGCGAGCGGGATCGTCGTCGTGAGGATACTGATACGCGGCGGGGAGGGGATTTCTCGTCTTTGGGGGGAGGGTCGGCGCGGTCGCGGTCTCGGCCTCGATCTCGTTCGCGTTCGCGTTCGGTTGTGTCGCGAGGGCGGGCGTCTCGGTCTCGGTCTCTGTCTCTATCTCGGTCTCGATCTCGGACGTCTCTGTCGCGGTCGCGGTCGCGGTCACGGTCACGGTGGACGGAGCGGGAGCGTGTACGGGAGCGGTATCGGGGTCGGGATCGGGATCGGGAGTAGTAGCTGCGGCGGCGGCGGTAGTCGTCTCGATCGCGGTCACGGTCACGGTCACGGTCACGGTCTCGAGGTCTGTCGCGGTCTCTGTCTCTGTCTCTGTCTCTATCTCTATCTCTATCCCGGTCTCGGTCCCGGTCCCGGCGATCTCGGTCTCGATCACGGCTGCGGTCACGGCGGTAGTCATGGTCGCGGTCACGGTCTCTGTCATGATTTCGAGTAGTAGATCTGCTTCTGCTCCGGCGGCTGGGGCGATAGCTCCGGTCACCGTATCTATTATCGCGGAAATCGCGAAGAACCAGTCGGTCATCAGAGTCACGATTGCGGGGCTGGCTGGATACATCGCGCGAACGCTCTCGACGGTCATCGTCAAACCGGGAGGAGAACCTCCGACGCGAGCGACTGCGGCTCTCGTCACGCCTCTTTGTCCGAGGGCGGTCGTCTGCTGTTGATCCGCGTCGTCGATTGGGTTCGGCTTCGACAGCCGGACTACCTGCCTTGGTCGGAGTGTTGGAGAATCTCGAGTCAGCCTTGGGTCCTTTCGGGGGCGGCTTGAGACCATTTTCGATGGCCTCCGCTTCCTCGAAGTCGAACTCGGGCTTCTGTCGTGCCTTGGCTGCTAGCTCTTCTCCCTCCTTCAGCAACAGTTGTAGCGCCGCCTCCTCCAACGACTTCTCGTCCACTGGCGGCGCCGCTGGCGCAGCTGCAGGCGTAGGTTCTTTCGGAGTCGGTGACTTTTCTTTGCGCGAATCGCGATACCGTGGGGAGTGGGCGCGGTCAGAGCGATAGCCTGGCGAGCGATCTCGGTAACGGTAACGATCCCTATCCCTGTCCCTATCACGATCTGAATCACGGTCTCGAGTTCGGCTTCGATCGCGCCAATCGCGATATCTGTCGCGCTCTTCGCGGCGACGGCGTTCGTAGCGTTCCTGTCGTTCCTTTTCTCTCTGCTCATCCAGCTTTCGCTGCTCTTCGCGGCGCTGTTCCTCGCGCTCCCTCCTCCTGGCCCTTTCTTCTTCTTCCTTCTGGCGTTCCAACTCACGTCGCTTGCGATCCTCCTCCGCCTTCTTGCGCGCTTCCTCCTCTTCTATCTCCTTTTGCTTGCGCAGCTCCTCCTGCCAGACCTTTTCGCGCTCGTCGCGTTTCGCCTTCACATGAGCGGCGTAGTCCTCATCAGTTTTGTTCCCTGCGGTTTCCTCCTGCGCGGCAAGCTCCTCGCCGACCTCGTCGCGACGGATATCGCGCACGGAATCCAGAATAGCGGGGAGGTGTTTCTCGGCCAGCGCATCAAGGGTATGTTCGACAGTTTTGTAGACATCGCTTCGATCCACCGCACCTTCGATCAAAGTTGCAGCTTTTCCACGTTCGCGAGAAAGAAGACCGGGTTCGCGGTCAATTTCAGATTCAGCGAGTTCGACCAGTAGTTTCGTAAACTCAACCTTCCCTTCCTATATGACCAAGGCGCATTAATTAGCAAACAACAAACCCTCACCCAGAAAACGAAACAACAGCAATAAAATAACAATCAAAGATAAAATAAATACCCCGTCATGGAATTCAGACCATATCTTCTTTCGAATAGTATCGAATCCACCCCTCTTCTTGAATGCGTGCAGCAAATGCTCAATGGCTGAATGCTGCGCCGCGGACAAAGGCAGCTCATCCGTCTTGAACTTCTTCCGCTGCAGACTGTCCAGATCCATAGAAGAAGACGTAGTAGGCCGCTTCACACCTGCTGTCACATCCATCATCTCCTCTGGACCAGCCATGACGAGAGACTTAAAGATGTAACAAGCTTGCAATAAAACTTCCAAGCTTGGGGAAGTATTAGAATAGAGGCTCTGAGGAAAAAAGGAACTGAACTTCCGGGGATAAACCCGCAAATGCGGCGCGCAGGACCCGACCAAAAGGCACCGACCGCCCGGCAGAAACAGCCCTCCCACGGCGGAACGATAATCCGGACAACAGGAATCGCAGATTGGGAACCACGGCCCCGTGATTCGCCGGGTGTGTGAAGGTCGAACCTCATCTCCGTCGATTCACGCCCGTGTTGGTCCGCAATTGTTGTCGTGAAGTTGAACATTGGAACCTTGTTGCGGCTTCCGATCAATTTCCATTCTTTTTAATCCTACCTTCCGCCGCGAATCCCCCTCTTTTCCTCCACATCAATCATGGTTCACAAAGTCCTCTTCTGGGGTGGCTTCGGTATGTTCACCACATCCACACCACCCACCCTTGCTATACCAGCATGCAACTGCTAGCTAGATAGCTAGCTAGCAAGCTGTCTCCCATCCGCTTCCCTTATATTCAATTGCTGGCCATGCTATATATTAAATACTAATAACTCCTCCAACAGGCATCGCCGTCCGTCTCTGGCAACTCGGTATCGAAATGCGTCCCATCCTCGCCAAGGAGTCCCTCTGGGTGTACCCCCTCTTCGCCGGAGTCGGAGGCAGCTTCGGTTACTGGCTGCAGGGCGTCGAGAACCGTCAATTGAGAATTCTTGCACAGCGCCGGGAAGCTATCCTGGAGAAGCGCCGGAGGAGAGACGAGCGCGAGGCGGTGGGGTTGAGCAAGCCTGAAGAGGCGGGTGTTTTGGCTGCGGCGGCATAAATGAATGAGATGTTGTTGCGATGATGAAGGATAGGAAGAATTGTGGTTGGGTTTGGGTGCTAGAGCTGGCCGAAAAACTGAGGCTTTTGTACATTGCGTTTGTTGTGAATTCTATTATATTACATCATATCCTTAATTTCCTGCGTCGCGGTGGTGGTGTTTTTGACGGTTTCTGAGGGATTGGATGGAGGAAGTCTATGGAAAATGGTCCGGAGGTCTGGATCTGGACTTGATGGTATTAGGCTTGGTGAAGGGAGGATGATATAGATCTATCTCAGGTGTCTTACTATGTCGGTTCTAGTCCAACGAGATATTGAGGGTAGGAAGGTCCTGTGATAGTTGCAGAATCATCCTATCGTTGTTTATACCTATGGGTAATCGCGAGTGTACTGTTCATAGATAGAATAACTCTTCCACTGCCGTGTTGTTGCCGATATAGATGGCACGGGAGCAGATCCATTCAAACCAAGTAACATCGTGTTGCCCCAGGTGACTCTTTCGAGAATCGCTATAACCACACTACTAGACATTATAGTAGTAGTTATTGCCGCTTACGGAAAGGGTGGGAAGTTCTGCAGGAAAGAGACACCGTACAATTCCGGTACCAGATATTTACTCCTAAAGCGAGGACACAGACAGCATGATGCCATTCCCAGTAAACCGTAATATTATGCCGGTATATCTTCATTGAATCCAAATATGATCGTATATGTACAGCAAGACATCTGCCATTTCATGCCTTCTCGGCCGTGAACTGCAGCGAAACTTCCCACTTCTGCCCTCCAGATCCGTACCCTCCACCCAAGCGATTCTTGATGAGGCTGGCTATCCGTTCACGCAATCGCACTAGGTTCTCTTCAGTCCCGGATACTCGGAGCTTCAAGTTGGCCATGCAAAGCCCGTAATGAACCTGCCAGAACCGGGCGTCATCCACGCCGTAGACGCAGGGATCAGCCTCGATATCACGGATCACCTCGGACACCCCCGGTCCGGAGTAGGACATTAGAAGCATGGATCCCAGTGTCTTCACTAGGCGCACCCCAATAACGCACATTGAGATAGAAATCGTGCTGGAAAGCAAAACATCCAGCCAGTTGTAGAGCTTGATGGAGACCAGGGGCAGCAACAGGAGCAGCGTGGAGCATGAGAGCGTCAGGAAATGGGACGGGTTACTAAGAACCGAGGGAAGCGACTCAATGTACCCAAACCGCATCGCCTTCCCTATCCGTCCGTGGTTCTTGAGACCGATGGCGGAGATCAAGGTCGATGAGATAGCCAGCAGAGCAGTGAAATCCACACGACCGAGGGAGACACGCTCGTGGACATGCGTATGGTGAGGCTCATGGCCGGAAGATTCAAGAAAGTGCTGCAGACTATGGGAAATGAGATCCATTCCCATGAACAGCAAGAGTACGCACATGGCGAATCCTGCAAGCACTTCTGCGCGCTCCAATCCGAATGGGTGTCGAACACTGGATCGCTTCCATACTTCAAAGTTGCCCAATATGTCGACAGCAACGCAGAGCAATGCGCCGATTGAATCGAACAGTATCAAGTGAGAAAGGGCCGTCATAGCCAATGATCCATGAGCACTCCATAGCGTATATGCGGCAACAGACATGTGGCAAACGCTCCACCAGAACCGGGTAGTCTGGTCCTTGGACATACTAGAGCGATATTCTTTGAACGTCGGTATAGGCAGCGAGTTAGGCAAAGCTAGAGGGGCTCGTGGAGGCGGTTCCAGGAAGATCTGATGTGAAATGCTACTGTGCTTATACTTGTGTCCACGTCGCTGGCCAATGTTCTACGTCGCATTGACGGCTTCATTAGTATATCCATCTCCAAGGTGGCAGTAAGCGACAACTCACAGACTTCACGACTGGGCTCTTCGCCATTGTCGTAGTCTTGAAATTGAACGGTCCCGCCGAAGCATTGTCGCTCTGATCACTCGGCTGTAATGCGTCTGCTGGGCTGAGATTGAAGCCCGCCCGTGTAGGACTTAAGCGATTGGCATCACTGGGATCTAACGAGCCCCGCAGATTTGGAAACGTGTCCCTCAATGGTGATAGGGAATCTTTGTCTTGGAGACGGGGTGACTGGCTTGAAGTGCTCGGAGGGTCATCCGGGGGAGGCGTCGGGGTGCGCGGAGGAATAGGGATAGGGAGATTGGATGCCATGTTCAGAGGACGGCAAAGAGCTGGCACCCGTGCCAAATGGCCTCGGTGCTAGCTCGAAGAAAGTCGCGTTACACGTGCGAAACACGCGCAAAAGTGTATAGAGGTGAAGTATGGAGACAAGCAAGGGCCTGAGGTCGGGAATGTTGCGGGATAGCCTTATCACTCCAGGCCTCGTCGGTTGGCTGTCGGCCCCATCCGAGGTGGAGGGGGACTCACCGCCCGGCCGGCGCATTCGCATAGTGGTACTACTGTGCATCGCGGTACAACTTGTATAGTCGGGTGTACCGAGATGATGGAGCCCCTGCTTTCGTAGTGCTTGATAGTGTAGGTCGTATCAATATAGCTAATAGCATTGTAGCTAACCAGTGTATGCATAATTCTATACACCGGTCTCAAATAGCTCATATCATCTACTCCAAAAGGTTGGGACTTGTGCAGTATCTCTAGTGGTAGACTCCATCCTCGTTGAACACAAGTCTTAGGGTATAAAAGTACAGCCCGTTCGTTCTATAAAGCCAGAAATGGCCATGACAGACCAATAACAGTGATATCGTATATTCTTATAACCGCAGACAGCCTTTTGTTGAATAAAAGGGTCCGCCGATAGCGGCATGACGTAGCCAGCTCTCTAGACAGTCATTATGTGGTGAAAACATAACCATCCACACACAACAATCATACCCAATGAAACCCCCAGACAAAGGGAAACAGTTCAAATGACTAAACAATCATAATAAATTCGACGCCATGCACAGAAGCGGCGGCGCGCATATAATCCAAACCCAGACTTTGAGCAATCCATCCATTCAAATACTTCATGACCCACACACGCACTCTCACACATATCACGCTTACTCCTCATCAATTGTAGCCTTGTAGGCAGCCTCGTCCAGCAGTCCGTCCAACTCCGCGGCATCGTTCACCTTGATCTCCGCAATCCAGGCATCACCCTCGGGACTCTGGTTGATGAACTTGGCATTGTCGTCCAACACAGCATTGCCCTGGGTAACAACACCCGAGACAGGCGAAAGGACGTCCGAAGCGGACTTGACGGACTCAACAGCACCAACAGGCTCACCGGCGCTGACCTCCAGGTCGACCTCGGGGAGCTCCACAAACACAACGTCACCAAGGGAGTTGGCAGCGTACTTGGTAATTCCAATCTTCGCTGTAAATGGTAGAAGAAGGCATTAGTGACTAGTTGAGGGTAACTTGGCCGGGGAAGGCTGTGGTGGACGAACCAGTCTTGCCGTCCTCGGCGAGCTCAATCCACTCGTGCGACTCAGTGTACTTCTTCAATTGAGCTGTTGGGAGTCAACCATTAGCTTTGTATCCAACCTAGGGGGTCTGAATGCCCTCATGCGACTGAATTCTAGGGGGTTGCTCACAAAGTGGGCTCTGGGAGAAGCTCCGGACACTTCCCCGCGGGAAACTGGCGGGTGCGGCCCTGCAGACGGAAGAGAGGGGGAGCTTCTGCGACAGGACGCGAGAAGCGAAGGGACGGAGGGATCTGGCGGCGAAAGACATGGTGGGCAGCTGGAGTTGAGGGGAGAGAAGAGGGAGAGGAGAGAATCTGGAAAAGTGAGAAAGTGTGAGTTGAATTGGAGAGAGAAAGGAAGAAGGAAAGAGGGAAGTAAATTAAATATGAATGACGGAGGAGAGAGCGATTCCCGGCGCTGATAGCGGGCGCCAAGCCGGGTGCTGATAAGGAAGTCGAGTTCGAGCCTCCGCAAATGACATTCGGAAAAATCTCATCCCCTTCCAGTTCCGTGTTTGGTTCTCCGTCGTCCTTTACGTTCCCCGACGCTATTTTCACAGTCCAGACCCCACTCCACATTGTCGGCGCCATGTTGTACGAACTGATTGCTGTTGTATGTTTCCAGACGATTCTGTTTAATGAACTTTATTATATACATTGACTTGATGCTAATTGATGACTGCAGGTCCGTCCCGGTAGCCTCCAGGAGGTTAGAGAGTACGTGCCTATCGACCCTATTTGACCACCTCATATCCTTACGCAACATCCTTCTATCGCCAAACCATCATTATCCACGAAATATCACTGACAGACGACAGCATCGCCCGCAATGCCGGCATCCAGGTCCTCCGCTCCGGCGGCGTAGTCCGCGGATTCACCAACTGGGGCACCTTCCGTCTGCCCAGGCCCACGACAAAGCATCAGGCCCGCTACAGGGAAGGCCACCACTTCATCATGCGCTTCGATGCCTCGGGTCCCGTGCAATCGGCTGTCCGCAGAACTCTCGGTCTCGATCCCCGGATGGTTCGGTTCTCCGTTGTCAAGCTGGGCGACAAGCTGGAGGAAATCAAGCACGTCGATGGCAAGGTCGAGTGGAACAACAACCGCACCATCTCCGAGACTTTCTAAGTGTGATTCGAATGTGATGTGGATTGGTTGCAGTTATGCGATTGTGCGTCGTTCGGGACACGGAAAATGATTCAATTGTCAATGTATTAATTATGGGATGGGTTTCTTTGTATATCATATCAGCATTATCGGCGCATATACCTTACTTGGCAGATTTGTTCAATGAAGATGGTGATCTGTTTTTTCTGTGCAGTTGCGTCAATATGCGTTTATGACGGTTGAGCGTTGGATTATCCCGTCTTAGAATTAGGGAAACACTCCGGATGACGGAGGTGTGACCATGACGCTTCGATGAGCGTATGTCTATTTTTTGTTTGTTTTTTTAGAAAAAGAGAAGTCTGTGATATTTGCTACATTATCTCCCAATTTATCGGAAACACTTCATCTTTACCGGGTTACACTGCAGCAAGGATCCTTGAAACAGCGATATGCGCATGGGAATGGAACAATGATGATCCAGACTTACCCCAAGTATGAACACTGCAAAACACATAAGGGATAATCGGCACAGCTTTGCCATATGGGGAGCATACCAGGAACGGCACCATGTTGATCATCGAATATGCTTCACGGGTAGCCAACCAACTCCGCCCGGTCAGCCGAGGCTCTGTCGAACCATGTCGGCTAAATGAGTAGTCAGTCGATAGACTCAGCGCCAACATACATCCCACTTTCACCCTTATCATTCTCCCATGTGAAGAGTAAAGGGGCGCAATCTCGAACATAACATTCCTGCCGGTGCACTGTAAAGTGGATATACTACAGATTGAAGCAGGCAGGCATCACCAGTCATTAGTACATACATACCAGCCGGAACATACCCCTCACGCATATGCCACCGACATCAACAACATCAGCAGCAGCAGCAAATAAGCCCAACCATACACCCTCCCACATTATACATACACACAATGCATGACCCAACATCCGACGAAAGCCCATCCTCCTGGGCAGAGCTAATGGCACTCCGTCGCCTCCCCAACCCACCCAGCAGCAGTACCACGGAGCCCACCGAACGATTCGAATCCATAGCGCCACCCTATCCCCCAGGCGAAGGAACCCGTGCTTTTGGCGGACATGTCTACGCCCAAGCTGCCTACGCAGCATCCCAAACCGTAGAGAAGGGGTTCGTGATCCACGTAAGTACCTGCCTGCTCACCGAATAAAAGCACACATTAAGACCAAAAACATAGAGCGTAAGCGGAACATTCATCCTAGGAGGCCTCCTAGATGTTCCATACGAGTACACAGTGCGCCACCTGCGCGACGGGAAGATGTACTGCACGCGGTCCGTGGACGTGCGACAAGCGAACCAGATCTGTTTCTCGTGCTTATGTTCCTTCAAGCGAGGGGAAGGTCAGAGCGGGTTTTCGCATCAGCCTGCGCCTGTGCAGGAGCGGTATGCGTCTGTTATCGCTGGAAAGAAAGCGGAGGAGTACCCCGTCAGTCCGAGCGTGGATGCAGATTGGTGGATTGAAGGGGTGAAGGCTGGCGATTTGACAGAAAGGGAGTTTCCTGGAGTGGATGTGCGGAAGGTTGATATGGGGACGTTCAATCAAACGGAGGATGTGAAGAGCCATCCGGAGAAGTATCGCCAGTTGGCGATGTATTCGATCAAGGGGCTTCCGATACTTGGTGAGGAAGAAAGGAGGGTGAGGGAGAGGGAGGAAGCGGGGGAGTTCGATAATCTGTATGCATGCGCGCATATGTATGCTTGCGATAGGAATTCGTTGTTGTTGATTCCAAGGGCGTTGGGGGAGACGAGGTGGTCGTCTATGGCGAGTTTGACGCTTACGGTTGTGTTTCATGAGTTGGGAGAGGCGTTGCGGATGCTTGATTGGGGTTCTGGGGGGAATAGGGCCCCGGGAAAGAAGTGGTTTATACAGGAAGGGTGGACTCCTAGGTCTGCGGAGAATCGGGCGGTTCATGAGAGTTGGTTGTGGACGTCGGATGGGAAGTTGTTGGCTACGAGTTATCAGGATAGTTTGTTGCGGTTGACGAGTTCGCGGGGGAAGCTTTGATCTGGGTGGAGGTATAGACTGTTGTTTAGATCTTTGGGGGCATTGTACAGGTGTTACGTGGATACAATGAAGTATATAGTCGTTTGCAGTTATCTATAATTTTAGACTGGCCGCTAATTGTTGTTGAACTGTGGCTGCTAGGGGAGTTGTCTCCTTAATCATGATGCTTTAGGTTGCCCGTGATGAATGGCATGGCCTGTAAGATCAGGCACTGGGCTACAGGATCATAGAGATCGAACTACTGTATTTAATGATATTCAGTTCGTTAAGCCGCATTATACTCGTACTGACAGGTTTCTGGGATTTGTGCACGGGTTCTACATGTTTGTGACACGTACTCATAGCATATGGATAGATCAATATCAGACAAACCTGCAACAAAGGTAGCAGTGATGAAATTTCAAATCAGATACTAGTATTCAGAATCAAGCCAATTATGCCCTTTTTAAATAGGGTTCTGATGCATATATGGTTCAGCACGCTGGCACAAACATAGACCCTCGAAGTGGTTTGTTCAGAAGCCCAGTGATCAGATGGTCAAGATACCTACGAAACCTGGGCTTTTGTCTATCCAAAGGTGACTGTTTTGCGAAACGATTGCGCTCCTAAAACGATTCATGAGCCTGTAGGCCATCTACAAATCTCGTACACGTGAAACACCTGATAATCTTGATCTAGCATCATGGAACGTTGCAGCTGTGTCTGAATTGGAGCTATGAGAAGACTTGGATAGCATTTTATTGCTATTGTTTGATATAGTATTCTTGTCATGAATCTGCTGCTTTCTTGTGACTCAAGTTCGTAAAGGTCTCCGTGGCGATGTCAGTTACCATAGTACCATACTAGCCAAGTGTAAATATATATAGGAGGATCGGCTACTGGAAGGAACTGCTCTGCTGCAACATCAGCTTCAAGCGCTGGACTGAAAATGGTTCCTTATAATAGGTTGCATGATCAGCAATCTGTAGGCTTGTGCCACTGAAGCTTCCAATATATAGTGAGTGTAGTCAAGTGTCAGCTGTAACTCCATCGACAGGCAGTAGTAGTACATTTCAATGAGACAAAGGCACAAGTTACCGTCCGCTGCATTTCATCATTGGTATCAGGGTCACAAAGCGTCTTATAGGTAGTAAATGTGGTGAATGTGCAATGGTGATTCAATGTAAATGTACCTGTCACGTGGCCGGAATACCCGATGACGTAGCTGCCTATTTCAGGCCGACCGAGATCTTCTCTTCTCGCGCCTCTCCACCTTTTCGCTCAGTCCACCCATTCTACGGGCGTACTCTCAGTTAGTCGTACAAGTACTCGATATTGAAAGGGGGGAATGTACCTTCCGGGTTAGCCGGTGTGATACGATGAAGAAGACGCTGCTCCTAGTGTTCATCCATGGCTTCAAGGTACCGTGTGCATGCTCCACCCATTCTCAGCCAGCCCGTCTCTCTCCTTTGAGGCTGCACGTGCATGGACCCTACGGAATGCATACTCTGAACCTCACTACTGACATCCACAGGGAGATGATGATACGTTTGGAGAGTTTCCAGGGCGCTTTTGTGGTCTGATTAGTCGTGCCCTCCCCGCTGTTCAGGTCGTCGCCACTGTTTACCCAAAGTATGAGACTCGAGGCGAACTAAAAGGATGCGTAAGTAACTTTCGGGAATGGTACGTCTAGTAGCCCATGCGATTTTTCCCGAGTGGATGGAACGTGCTATTGACAATCATAGGCTTCAGAACAAAGTCATCGACTTGGAGGTCTCGAACCGAACGGCTTCACCGACAGTTGACCCTTCTGTGCATGTTATCCTGCTCGGACATTCTATGGGTGGAATAGTTGCTGCCGAGACCCTTCTTCTGCTTGCATCGGAACAGCCGATTCCTGCACCATCTTCTGCAGACTCTGCAACCGACACCCTAGTGGATTCTGAATCTGCCGTGGGGGCGCACTCTTTCATGTTTCCTCACATTCAGGGTGTTATTGCATTCGACACTCCTTTTCTAGGCATTGCCCCGGGTGTCATATCATATGGTGCCGAAGGTCATTACCGAAATGCCACTACGGCGTACACCGCGATATCAGAAGTTGCCGGCTTGTTCGGCCTAGGCGGTAACTCTTCGAATAAGGCATCTACCGACCAGGGAAAAGCTTCCAACAAAAGTCTACCTCCTTCGGCTCCTAGCTCATCTTCGAATGCAGATGCTGCCGCGACACCATCATGGCAACGGTGGGGCAAATATGCCATGTTTGCAGGAGCTGCAGGAGCATTGGCTGCGGGCGGGGCGGCCGCGATGTATTCACAGCGAGACCGACTGACGGATGGTTGGGGCTGGGTATCATCCCACCTGTCATTTGTGGGTTCTTTAGCACGGCCTTCTGAATTACGGAGGCGCCTTGCACTCCTTGCCGAAGTCCAAAGGGACCGAGGTATCGGCTGCACTAATTTCTATACGTGCTTAGGCCAAAACGCAAGTGATCTAGTGGAGAACAAGAACGTTGGGACATCGTCGTTCAGCCAGAAGATTATACGCTCGAAGAATCGCACTTTCTGCTCGCTTCCGGCGGAAGTAGAAAGTTCGGGGTCTTCACAACAAGACATCCGATGGGCCAGGGCCGTGAACGATCAAGCTGCAGATGAAATCAAAGCACACATTAGCATGTTTTTACCGAACGAGAATCCAGCCTTTAATCTACTCGTGTCTGATGCATGCAAAGTGCTGGTGGAGTCGGTTGACAAGGGCTGGTACGCCACGGCCACAGGGCCAATTGAAGAGGTGGACGGGAACATGCCGCGGTCCGACGATGACCGTAGCAAAGACCAGACTGATAGCGGGTTCATGGACGGGGACGACGTTGTAGTCGTGGAGTGAAAAGGAAGAAAAGGAAAAAAAGAAAATAAGCCTGAGACATGAACGCACTATGACCATCTCAGAGCCACAACAATATAGCCAAGCGGATTGTCTCTTGCAAAATCGATACTGATCGCGGTCCCTCGACAACCGCATCGGCTTGATCCTCCAATCACCGAAGCCAAAAGGAAGAAAAAGAATCAGATTCCCTTCCAGAGCAATCCTTGCAGTCGACAAAAAGCGGATTATTCCACGTAATCTGTTTCACCCGCTGCAAGGATTCGGCTTGAACAGACGTGTGGCTGAAGGACGAGGGTCCGATCGCCTCAAGTCAGACTACTACTTAGTACTAGACTTACTTACTAGCGACGGAGACGGAGACGGAGGAGATGGGGGCGGGGCCATCCAGCCAGGCAGCTAAACAAAAAAACAAAACAAATCGCCTATGGCAATGCAGCCAGCACTTTTCTTTCCCCCTCCTCTCCCCCTTCTTCCCCCCCTGAGGGGCATTCTCTAGGCCAAACTACCCTAGGCCCTAAGGATTTCCCCGACCGTCGTGGAGCTTTCCCGTTCCGAGTGACCGGCAATTAACAAACCTCGCTCTAGTGGGCTTACCAGGAGCTGTCGGATTTGATTTCCACTGGCCAGCAGTCCAGTAGCGCAGCATGGTTCGATTTATTAGGGCCAATGTAATGATTTTCCACCATCCTAGAACTTAACCATCAAATCAGACCACTAAACTTAAAAGTTCACCGTGCTCCTAGTCCACCGAATCCTTCTTCTTATTTCCAGATGGGGAAAAGGGGTCCCTCTTCTTTGAGGGCAATTTGAGTGATCTGTTATTTACATACGCTGTCTGGACAACTCTTTAGATATATAACTAAGAAAGATGGAGATAAAATAAAAACAAGAGAAATGAATCGACGCGCAAGATATCAAACAAATGCTGTCAATACTAGATTTAAAAGGTTTATCCGGCGCGGGGCACGTTAGCAGTCTGTTATTTGACGATAGCGGAGAGCCGATAGCGGAAACCAAAAAAAGAAAAAGAAGAAGCAAAAAAAAAAAGCAAATATTGGTTAAAGATCACGCGTAAGTTTCAATTCCACGCTCATGAAGGGCCCTCCTTTGGGCCACAAAACAGATATCGGGAATACCGCTAGAATGTCAAACCAGACTGATTGTAGTAAAAATGATGAGAAAAGAGAAAACACCATGAAAACCTAACTCTCGCTCTAAGAGTACCCACATTGCCGATTTATGCTTAGATTTGATAATAATTGCGTGAGACTGCAGCGATTAGAGTTACACTAGGAAACAACGACAGGCAGTCGTTCGGCGACGGGCGGACGGAAGATGCAGTTTTGGCGTGAGGGTGGGCCGCTGAAGGAAGGAATAAGTGAAGTCTTGGGTTAGGTGTTAATGGCCGTGATAGGTCGACATGCGCTGATGATACATGCTCCCGGCATACTCCGAGTTTGCATCAGCGTAGTATCCTGTCTGGCGGCGATCTTCATCCGGAAGGAGTTCCTTGACCTCCCAGGTGTTGGGCTTAATTCCGACGGAAAACTCGAGATCTTCTTTCGTAATGTAGTCCCAGAACTAGACAGGGGTGCGTGTCAGAGATATTGCAGGGTTCAGTGTTCTCGAAAAATTTTCGAAATACATACCTTGTACACCATCATGACAGCCAAGAGGTTGCAGAACGTGGCGAAGAAAAGACCGTCCATGTAATGTTGCACGCTATCGCAGATGGTGTCACTAAATGCGTAGAGGAGCACCTGACCACAGATGAAGACCACGAGACCGAACGCGATGTGGCCGAGAGGCCAGCGGTCCTCGAGGGTGTTCATTACCAGTAACAACGACATTACCAGATACACGGCGATGCAAATAGCGTTCAGGACATACAGAACGACAAACATGCCGACGGTGTTGGTGGGACCCAGGCCTCCCCACGACTTGAAGGTCGCGAGAGAGACTAAGAAGGAGATGACAAACATCGCCGCGGAAGAAAGCCGAAGAAGCCAGACAGAGAGAATGGTTCCGTCTTCGTAGAGCTGGAAACCAACAAATCCGTTGATGAGCAGGGATGTGCATAGTGCCGATGCCAGTCCATTCTGCACCGCCGTAAAGTAAGGAAATGGGCCACTCCCAGGTGGAACGACCCCTGCGTCAAGGATCAGGGAACATAGGGTTAGAGCCATGTAAATGTAAAAAAACGTAATAATTTCTTTGCGGCCTGTGATAGCATGATGTTTGTCAATG